GAGGGTCCAGGAGGACTCCCAAGTTGCGAACCCTATCTGAGGGGCGTAGAATTTGACCCCCCAGCCTGAGAGATGGAACACTTGGGGTGGAGGAACCATGGTTTTCTGCTTGAAGCAGCTGGCTGGGGAATTCTGGGAGTTAAAGTTCCCAAGTTTGGACACCCCTGTCTTACATGGACACTTTCTGACGCTCAATTCCTGGGGGCAAGTTCATTAGGTGCCGCCTTCCTTCCTGGGCAGTCTCGCCTGACGGATACATCCAAAGACGGGCCAGGATTCCCACAGCTCTCTTCCCCCAATTCGGCTTTCTGGCTGGAGCCGGTTGGAATTTCCATATTTCGTCTGTAATCTTGTGTAGATGGAATGAACACATTGACTGACAGAAAGAGGGTGTGTGTGAAAGGGCATCGTTTGCAAAGGGAAGTGAAACTGGATTTTAATTAAATTGCCTGTTTTTACGGGGCCACATTTTCCCCACCCCCTGCAAGTCTGTCTTTTGTGGTTGAAGCCACGGATTTGGAGGTGAATTTTGCCTGTGGAACATAATGCCAAGCCCCTCTCCTCCAGTTTGGAGGCAGATGGGAAGCTCTGGGAAGGAGCTGCTCCCTGATCCCTCTTGACAGGCTCTGCGCTTTGCTAGCCTTCCTCTCCCCTGATGCCCGCCTCCCCTCCAAGGAGCCTCTGCCTGACTCTGGGGCACATTCCCTTAAAAAGGCAACGGGGAGTTTCTGCGCATCTGGTTGGATCTCTGGAGGCTCTTCGTTCTCCTAGGGTTGCAGATCCTTTTCATCACAGCTGGGAAGGAAATAGGTTGTTCCACCCGGAGCCACAGGGGGACCAGCCAGGAGGCCAAGGATGCCTGGCCCATGCAGGTGGATTAAAGGGGGGGGGACCCCCAGAATGGATCCTACCAGAGAGTGTCCCTACACCTGGCTGACAACTGGATTTGCACCAAGAAGGGGAGGAGGCATTTCAGAAACTGTTGTTCTCTATATACAATTCTAGGCATACTTTCACATAGATATTATTCTTTTGTAAGTTTGCCATTCTTACACATTTGTCGTTCCATTTAGAGGGTTATAACCTACCGTTTGGATTGCTTTGTTTACCATCCTTCGCCTGTTTTGACACCACCTTCTTTTCCCTTTCTTTTCTCCCTCCCTCCTTTCTCTGCTTTCTTCCTTCCTCCTCTCCTTTCCCTTCCTTCTTCCCTTCCTTCTCCCCTACTCTTCTCTTCCTCTTCCCCTTCCTACCCTCTCTCCTTCTCCCTTCCATCTTCCTCTCCTCACCTCTTTCTTCCCTCCTCTTCCTCTCATCTAGGAGGACACATTTCAACAAGAGAGGGGACATTTTATGCTTACCATTGTCTGCTAATATTCAGAGGGAGTTGAAAGTTAACCAGAAACATTTAGAAGCTTTCTAGCAGTGGGCCAAGGAGCAAAGAGAAGCGGCCCACCTCTGCAGCAGGGAGCAGCTGTCTCTCCGCTGAAGAGCATCTGGGGTGAACTGACAAGTGTGGTGCATCAGCTGCCAAAGCATGCAGGGTAGGCATGGTGGTGTGCCGTTCGCTATTCCCCCCTTCTCTCCCCCGCCCCCTGTTCTTTAGGGAGAAAGGATGATGCCCATGTCAGGCATAAGCATGACTCTGGACCTCGTCCCTTCTTTAGCGTATTCCCCATCGGTCCTTGAATGAGAACATCAGCTGCTGCTGTGCCAGAAGCTGCTTCTCTTCTTCCTAATAGCAGGACTGCTTCAATGGGGGTCCCCAGTTTTGGTTCATTTTCTTGTTGGGGAAAATCCTTCCAGGCTGATCTGTGCCGTCTTCTCCCTTTTCCTCTGAGGGGTGTTCAGCTGATGGCCACTTCCCCACACCCTTCAACTGCAGTTCAATGACTCCGGCTCTTCAAAGCTTTGATGCTTTCAAGGTAGAAAGAGGGAAGGCTTCCCTGAAACACCGTTATTTTCTACCTTTAAGATCCTTCAGGCTGACATTTTGATAGTCAATCAGAACAAGGTTTTCATGATTAATTATTTGACAGTATCCATTTCAATAGCCAACATTCTTCTATTATGCTGAATTACATGTAAAATATAGTGAATTCTGCCTGTGTGTGGGGGGATTTGGAGGCCCCAGCAATGGCAAATGACATGGGGGGGGGAGCTGGGCTCAAGGGACCTCTTGACATTTTGCAAAATAGATGTTTCCTAGAAGAGCCACCAGATCCCCCAAACACTCATTGGACCCAGATTAGTTGCCATTTGGTTAGGTTAGGGGAGATTTGTGTTTGTTACAGATCACGTGCTGGTTCTGCCGGGCTCAAACTTAACAAAAGGATGTAAAAGACTTGCAAAAATGAAGCAGTGAAGTTTCTCAATGGCAGGAAAGGGGCAGATCGGAGCTCTAGGTCCCAATCCACCCCCAGTCTTCCCAAATTGATGGGCCTCTCTAGGATGGGCCTCTTGCTTCCATGCTCATCCCATGGCTCTCCGGAAGGAACCTGTGAAAGGACACCCCTCCCTTCTCTCCCTTCATCTTACTTCCCTCCCTTCCTCTTTTCTTCCTTCCCCCTTCCTTCCTCTCTTCCTTCCTCTCTTCCTCCTTCCCTTCTTTCCCTCCCTCTGTCCCTTCATCTTCCCTCCTTCCTTCTTTCCTTCCTTCCCTCCCTCCCTCCCTCTTTTCTTCCTTCCTCCCCTCCTTCCTTCCTCTCTTCCTTTCTCCCTTTCTTTCTTCCCTCTGTCCATTCATCTTCCCTCCCTCCTTCCTTCCCTTCCCCCTCCCCCTTTCTCCTTCCTTCCCTGCCTCCCCCCTTCACCTTCCCTCCCTCTCTTCCTTCCTTCTCTCCATCCCTTTTCTTCCTTCCTCCCCTCCTTCCTTCCTCTCTTCCTTTCTCCCTTCCTTCCTTCCCTCCCTCTGTCCCTTCATCTTCCCTCCCTCCCTTTTCTTCCTTCCTCCCCTCCTTCCTTCCTCTATTCCTTTCTCTCTTCATCTTCCCTCCCTCCCTCTTTCCTTCCTTCCCTCCTTCCTCAAGTGCAGCTTATAAGGACTGTCCCCTTGCTTGTTTATTAAAAGTGCAGCAAAGAAGGAGCGGATTCCCAACTGAGGCGTTGCTTTCCCGCTTTTTTTTTACCGTTCACATTTTTCGTACAATTCATGGGGCTCCTTCTGCCACCAGCCAAGGTCAATATACTGAAATAAAGCACCTTATATGGCTAACATGCTGCTCATTGGCCTTTTTAGGGTCTTGATGGGGGGAAGATCCGCCTCTGGGGTTTGATAATCTGGCTGGTATTTATACGGAAAGCATCCCACCGCAAAGTCCCCGAGGGAAGAGAGGCGTTTCCTGCGGCACTCGGTGAGTAAGGTGAACCGATTCTGCTCAGGGAATCAGGGAATCAATTTCTCCAGAGCTGGGAAGGATCAGGGAGATCCCTCCAGCCTTAAAACTCTGGAAGTGGAAGTTGGATCCCATCTGGGTTGAGAAGCAGCAGTCAACTCTCTGGGGCTTGTGATCCTCTCAGAGTCCCTGGGAACCTTTTGCATTATTGACCCAGATGCTTTCAAATCTTTTGGCAGGACTCAGTTGGGGGGGGGGGGAGGCAGCCCGGAGCAGCTCCGGTCCTGGGAATGGGGGGAAACCTCGGGGCGGGAAGGCTCAGGAAAAGCTGGAGCTGGCAGATTGGAAAGAAACTTTGGGGGAAATTGGGCAGCCTCTGGCTGGCTATTTCTGGGTATGTCCTAGAATTCAACGCAGGCAGGTGAGAGGTTCTTCCCCGAGATTTCTGAATCCATTCCAGTAACATTTGTATTATTATTTTTTACTGCCACTGAAATTAGGATCAGTTCCGAGGATGGGAGCATTTGTTCCTTTCTAACGTTATAAAAGCAGGATGTTGTGCTTGGATCTGAAGGAGAAGCAGAAGGAGGGGCTCTTTTTAAAAAGGCAGAAGGAGAAAGTTTATTTCCATTTTTGGAAAAAGCCTCCGTGGACCTCCCGTTTCTCTTTCCTCTCGCCCAGCCTGGAGCTGTCCTTCATAAGCCTTCTGTGATTCATGCCCTGAGCCCTTGGGATGGGTGGAGAGATCAGAGGTTGTGGCCATCCACCGACAGGCTGCTGCTCTGCTAAAAAAAACCAAAAGATGGATTGTTTAAATTCATCATGAAAGCGCATCATCTGGGGGAGGGGGGATTAGACATGAAATCCCCCAAATGAGGGGTACCCCAACCCGCAGGTCACAGCCTGATACTGGACCGTGGCCTGATCAGAACTGGGCCACGCAAGCAGCAGTCAGCATGCATGAGCAGCCCCATTGGCCCAAGCGGTGGGCACTCATGTGGGCACACAAAGGCTGCCCCTCCCACAGACCTTTTTCCTCTTCCCTTCCCCCACCATCAGCCCACCAATCCAGAAAGGTTGGGGATCATCATGAATGCTTCTTCCTCCTCCCAGGTTTTCATTCAAGTACTTTAAGAGTTTTACTTTTAGAGAAGCAAATGTTGGGACTCATTTCATCTGGGAACACTTCCCTCCCTCCCTCCCTCT